TATGTATGTATGTATGTATGTATGTATGTATGTATGTATGTATATGTATGTATGTATGTATGTATGTATGTATGTATGTTGTTATATATATATATATATATATATATATAAACTCATGAGTGAATGCACTTACATTGTTGCATGGGCAGGTTCTTGAGCAGGTGGGGCACGGAGTGTCGGGGGTAGTAGAGCGTGTGCTACACAAGCCAACGGGAACGGTCATGGCCAAGAAGACGATTCATTTGGAATTAAATCCGTCTGTGAGGAAACAGATCACTACAGAACTCAAAGGTGGGTGTGGCCGGTGTGTGTTATTATGATTACCCGAATTGCTATCTTGTACATTATAAATGGCTCGTCTGGAGTTGTAAATAGTACCCATGACCTAAAGGGTAAGAGGACGTATACCTGGAATCAACACACCACTATCGAAGTCACTTGGTGTGGTACTGTATGCGGTGAATAGCCAAATTGTCTTGCATATGGGATTTGGATTTCAGTTCCCAAAATTTTAAGACCCTTGGCTCGGAATTGATGCCGGATGTTGGGGAAAATTCATACCAGCAAACTTCTTATTTTTTGGACAACAACAGACAAAAACTTTCTACACTCACACAGACAAAAACATTCTACACCCACAGAAATCTCGTTCTTTTCCTATAGATTGTTTGCATATAAATGGGCGGGCTCAGGCGCACACAGTATGGTCGATGTCATACGAAGCCTCCAGACTAAATGTTTTCTCAGCAAGCGACTCAGATTCTGCACCAATCAAACGCCATTCAGAAGAAGTACATGCGCGTGTGTCCTATTCCTCACTGTGTATAGTTTTCTGGACTCAAATGGTCCTGTATTGTTTTGATGGCGTAGAAGTATGTGCGCCGAGATCCACCTTACGCTGCAAGAAACATCGACGATGCCGTTACTGCAATTCACTCAAATGTTCTTGCGCAACCGTTTAAACGCTTTATGGAGCAGTGCTGTAGTCGGATTGGCGCTGACTAACTTTTGAACCGATTCCTTCATATTTGGACCCATCACATCAGATTTCGACCCAGCAACATAGTCATTTGACTCAATATTATTTGAATTTTGACCCAAAAACATTACGTTTCGATCCAACTACATCACGTTTTGACCCATAATCCCAATTGTATCGTCTGTCTCAACAGTGCTGCACGATTGCAAGAGCGAGTTCGTAGTGCAATACTGCGGCACCCTATTTTTAGACCAGGACTTGTCCATTTTTATGGAATACATGGACGCCGGTTCACTAGACGCAACGTACAAGCGAGCGGGGGTTATCCCTGAAGATGTCTTGGCAAAGGTCACCTGCAACGTTCTTATGGTAAGCATGAGTTGTACGTGTGTGAATGTGGGTGTGTGGGTAGGTGATACATATATTTATATATATATGTGTGTGTGTGTGGTGTGTGAAGGGGGTTTGGTACAAATATGTAGGTATATAAATGTACGAAGCGGGGTTAGAAGAGGACATATTTGTGTTCTTGTTTGTGGTAGTATACAGTGAGATGTCAGTATCGTACGCTGTCGAAAGGTGGATGTTTACATGTGTATATCTGTGATTTCAATATATATTTCGCACTTGTGTTCAACGTATATATTCTGTTTGTATTCTGCTTTGTACTGGCGAGTCATGCCCCTTAATAATGCTGATCCACATCACCCTAAAACCCTAGAACCCTAAAGCCATAAAAAACCCTGAACCTATTCTCGAATTATGGTTTTAGTCTCACAAGTTCTGTCGCGCCACACTCACAACCTACGCCGTCTGCACGAACAAACACAGGCGCTGTACGATCTGCGGGAAAACCATCAAATCATTCACAGAGATATAAAGCCCAGCAATATACTTATCAACAGCAAGGGGGAGATAAAGGTATGAAGACCTCGACACCAGCAGCGTATGTGTACATGTATATATGTGTAGATTAGATATTATCCGTATATTATTCTGTTGGGAGTGTTCTTCCTGTAGTATGGTTTATATAGTGTGTGAATTTGGCGGGATTCTGCAGGTGTTTTTTATAAGCACTTTGATGAGTGTGTATTTACACACACACACACATATATATATATATATATATATATATATATATATATAGGTATTTGTGTGCTAATGATATGATTGTATTCCTGATCATATGCACACACAGGTATGTGACTTCGGTGTTAGTGGGCAACTGGTAAACTCGATAGCGAACACATTTGTGGGAACACGCAGCTACATGGCACCGGAACGGCTATTGGGAGGGCCCTACGCAGTACAGTCAGACATCTGGTCACTAGGCCTGTCAATCATGGAGATGGCTATCGGTAGGTAAAAATTACGCTTATATATGGGTTGATATGTATGTTTAAGTAGACATATATATATAGTTATACATGTACGTATATATGTATCTGAGTGTTTATATGGCGTGGACTATGTAGGCTACGTGTGCAGTCAGACATTTGGTCTTTGGGCCTGTCAATCGTAGAGATGGCTATCGAGACGAATAGTTAATGTATTATGGCAGATAGATGTCATCGTCAAAGTAGACGTACTGATAACTATAGACCATCACTTGTCTGTAGATAATTCTATTGGCCAATGTAGACGTACTGATATTTATAGATATTCACTTGTCTGTAGATCAATACGTTTCATGGACATATTTGTCCTGTTTTGCGATATATTTTGCTATCAAGTGTGTACCTTCGGGTAAAAGTCCAATGCAATTGTCCAGACGGACTCAGTGGGCGAGATGCGTATAGTGCGTTTATGTGGTACAAGCATGCAGTGCGGTATAGTTGTATATGAATGAGCTATGCCATACACGTCCATCTGCCCTGAATACGGGACAGGCGTACCATAGTAAAATAAATATTCCTAATATTCTGGTATATATTAGAAATATAAGATCACCAAATCGTAACGCAAATCATCCGAGTACGTTGCGCATGTGGCCTGCAATATACAAATTAAATTAGGGCGTAAAAACCAAAAGCTCGAAAGTGGATTTTAAATTAATAATTGTCTGATTTAGTAAGCGATGCACCAATCCCAATATTTCACTAGTGTGTTCTAGAAACACTCTGACTCGAAATGGGACATTGTTTGTCTGATTTAGAAGGCGATACATCAATCCCGCTATCTCGCTAATGTGATCTAAAAATACAAATACCCAACCCAAATTAGGACGATTCCCGATTCCACCCGTTCCGGAGGGCCAGCAACCACCGCCTGTGTCTATTTTTGAACTGCTGGAGTACGTGGTTAAAGACCCACCGCCCAAATTACCTACCCATTTCTCAGAGAACTTCCAAGACTTCATCCACTGGTGTCTGATAAAGGATGCCTCTAAAGTATGCGAGTATATATATATATATATATATATATATATATATATATATATATATATATATATATATATATATATATATATATATATATATATATATATATAT